AAAAAAAAATTTTTTTTTTTTTTTTTTTTTTTTCTTCTTCTTTTTATTATATTTAATAACTCTAATACACTTAATAAAGAATTATTATTTTTTTCTTCTTCTTCTTCCTCTTCTTGCTGCTGCTGTTGCTGCTGCTGCTGCTGCTGCTGCTGCTGCGTGCTGCTGCTCGTGGGGATTGGTCTTAGACGGGAGAGCAGCAAACCCCAAGAAGGATTCAATATATCTGCAGCAGATACTCTTCCTGCTGCTGCTGCTGCTGCTGCTGTTGCTGCTGCTGTTGCTGCTGCTGTTGTTGCTGTTGATGATGATCTATTTTCCGCGGCAGCTGAGAACTGCTCCTGGTGCTGCTGCTGCTGCTGCTGGTGCTGCTCGTGTTGCTGCTCCTGCTGCTCCTCCACGGTTGCTGCTGTTGTCCGCAGCAGCAACCAGTCTCTTAGAGGGCGAGATCGTTCACGTGCGCGCTGCAGCAGCAGCAGCAGCAGCAGCAAAATACACCAACAGCAGCAAATAGAGCAGCAGCAGCAGCAGCAGCAACAGCAGCAGCAAATCGGACACCCCATGGTAGTGCAACAAATTTCAAGTGGTCTAAGAACTCCCTAAACCCTAAACCCTAAGCCCTCTCCCTAAACCCTAAACCCTAAACGCTCCCCCTAAACCCTAAACCCTAAACCCTCCCCCTAAACCCTAAACCCTTTCCCTAAACCCTAAACCCTAAACCCTAAAAGAGACATACAAGTAATTTATGTGCAAGATAAGTAGTAGCAGGTACATCACACCATACATCACTGTCTCCTGACAGCAGCAGCAGCAAAGTTGTTTGTCCCTCCTTTATTTGCTGCAGCAAGGGTCTCCTTAATCCACCAGGAGGAAGAAAGTAACTTGTCTCTAAATTTATACTACATGTTGCCTATAAATATAATAAAATATAAACCCTAAACCCTAAACCCTAAACCCTAAACCCTCAATGAGCGGAAAGAGGGGAACAGATCCATCACAAACACTAAACCCTAAACCTTCAAATTCACACACAAACCCTAAACCCTAATTATAAACACTCTAAACATCCGCAGCAGCAGCAACAGCAACAGCAGCAGCAGCAGCAACAACAACAACACCAGCAGCAGCAGCAGCAGCAGCAGCAGCACGGACTGTTTGTATAGCCTGACGCAAAACCTCTTGTATACATCGACGCTTCTTAGGGACATCGCTCTCTAACACCTATAACACAAACCCTAAACCCTAAACCCTAAACCCTAAACCCTGACCATCATAGTACACCACAACCAACAACTACCAGAGCGGACTGCGGTAGAAACAGCAGCAGCAGCAACACCAGCAGCAGCAGCAGCAGCAGCAGCAGCAAAAGGCATTACGCATACCTGAACAAGAGAGCCTTCTTCGTTGGGTGATGAGACACAACCGCAGCACCACAAAGGAGGGATCTGCAGCAGCAGCAGCAACAGCAGCAACAGCAGCAGCAGCAACATCAGCAGCAGCAACAGCAGCAGCAACAATAACAGCAGCGGCACGAACACAGACCGCATGCAGATTCGTGTAGTAGACCACAAAGTCCCCAAACAAATTCCACATAAACCCTAAACCCCAAACCCTAATTTTTGAACCCTAAACCCTAAACCCTAAACCCTAAACCCTAACCTGTTGGAGTTGTTGTAGGGTTTTATGAGCAATAGAATCAGCTTTTGCTGCTTGTAATGAATGCAAGAAGACAAACCCTAATTCTGCTGCTGCTGCTCCTCGTAAACGTAGATGGAGGTCACGGAAGCGTCCTGTTCCTCCATTTAATGGACCTGGACGTAAACCCTAAACCCTAAACCCTAAACCCTAATATCTTGGATACGGCATGGAGCGAGTTGTGCAGTTGTTGAAATCGCAGCAGCGCGTGTACTTCCTCCACCACAGCAGCAGCAACAGCAGCAGCAACAGCAGCAGCTGCAGCAGCAGCAGCAAACCTGTTGTCTGTAGGGAGACATTAAAGGAACCAACAAATGCCTCTGTGCCATCAACCACGAGGGTTTTGCGATGATCTCTTAGGGCTAATGATCCAACCCTTGCTGCATGCAGCTCCCCACACTGTGCTGCTGCTGCTGCTGCTCCTGCTGCTGTGTCTTGTGCACCAGCAGCAGCAGCAGCAGCAGCAGCAGAAGCAGCAGCAGCAGCAGGGGAATAAAATGCTTGGGGTAGAGGAGGATTAAATATACAAACATTTACTCCTCCCTTTAATAAGGAAGAAATCCAACTATGAGAAAAACTAAAACTCCCTATCTGCATGCAGCACACACATCTCCTGCTGCTGCTGCTGCTGCTGCTGCTGCTGTTGCTGCTGCTGTTGGTGTTGCTGCTGCTGCTGCTAATGATTTTGGTGTTATTTGCCTTTAAAGCGGTGTTTCATGTGTGATTTTCGTTTTAGGGTTTAGGGTTTAGGGTTTAGGGTTTAGGGTTTAGGGTTTAGGGTTTAGGGTTTACGCCATCAATAAGAAGAACAACAAAACATCCTCTTGCTGCAGCAGCAATTAATGCATCACGAACTTTTGCTGCTGCAGCAGAAGAATCTAATATATAACTCTCTAATAATATAAATCTCTTTGCTCCTTCTATTGAATCTAGCATTGCTTGCAGTGTCTCGTCACCTGCAGCAACAGCAGCAGCAGCAGCAGCAGCAGCAGCAGCAACAGCAGCAGCAATAGCAACAGCAGCAGCAAAGGCAGCAGCAGAAGCAGGAGAACAGCAAAGGTAGGCTTAATGGCGGCAAAATGCAGACGCAGCAGCAAAGGCGGCAGACGATGCAGCAGGCAGGTGCTGCACCTGTCTAAGAAAGGAAGGCAGCAGCAGCAGCAGCAGCAACAGCAACAGCAGCAACAACAAAAACAGCAGCAGCAGCAGCAGCAGCAACTAACCATCTGTGTAGACCTTAATAAAGTTAGCTGTTGTCATCTTTCCGTGTTTCTCAACAGAAGATAAAAATGAACTCCAACGCCTCTCCTAAACCCTCACAAACCCTAAACCCTAAACCCTAAACCCTAAACCCTCGATTGTACACCCTAAAGTATCAAGAACACGACATAAACACTAGATGTTCACCACCGCAAACCCTAAACCCTAAACCCTAAATCTTTGGCTGTAAGTAATATCAGGAGTAGCGGAGGGTGGCTACCACTTGAGTGTGTAGTGTTTACGGTTTAGGGTTTAGGGTTTAGGGTTTAGGGTTTAGGGTGTAGGGTTTTACCATGAGCTCGTAGTCAATCTTTTTAGATTCTTCGTCATTTTGTTTTTCTTTGACTGTACAGACAGCTCGATGCAGCAAGCGGCGTATATCTGCAGCAGTGCAGCTACCTAGCTGCTGCTGCTGCTGCTGCTGCTGCTGCAGCTGTAGCTGCTGCTGCTTCTGCTGCTGCGATACACCAAAAAACCAACGCCGCGCAGTGCTGCCTATGCTGCGGATGCTGCTTGTGCTGCTGCTGCTTGTGCTGCTGCTGCTTGTGCTGCTGCTGCTACTTATGCTGCTGATGATGCTGTTGCTGCTGCTGCCGCTGCTGCCGCAGATGTAACACCTGCGGTAACCCCAGCCATCGCCGCCAGCAGCAGCAGCAGCAGCGGCAGTTTTTGCTGTTGCTGTTGTTGCTGCCGCTGCTGCTATAGTTGACGGCGCAAGAGAGTGGAGCAGCAGCATCAGAGCACCGTAATTTCAATAAAAACCCTAAACCCTAAACCCTAAACCCTAAACCCTCGGGCGACTGTAAGGGATGGTGTGTGGTGTATACATGGCTAAATTAGCAATAAAAGCAAAAGTGTGTTTATAACTATTGAAAAGAAAAGCCCTGCAGAAGAAGAACCCTGCAGCAGCAACTGCAGCTGCAGCAGCAGCAAGAGCAGCAGCAGCAGCAACAGCAGCAACAGCAGCAACAGCAGCAGCAGCAGCAGCAGGAAGGAGTCAAGGAATAAACACCTAGCAAATATTCTTTAATATTTTATTACATTATAAACAAACCTTTAAAAATATAAACAACTTTAGTACCCAACAATAAGGCATCCTATGGGGCCCCTGGGGGCCCCCCTTGTGGGGCCCCCATAGGGGCCCTCTTGGGGGCCCCCTTGTCTGGGGGCCCCCCTTCCCTGGGGCCCCCCCATCTGTTTTATCTCCGGGAGCCTTATAGAATAAATAATATAAATAAAAATAAAAATTATATTTTTATTTATTTATAATTAAATACATGTATTATACATGTAGTATATTTGCTCAATAAATAATAAGTAATAAATAAATTACTTAATAGGCAAATATACTTTTTTATCTTCATGTATTTAATAATTATATATATAACCCTGTACCTCCTCATGACCCCAGATGAGGGTTGCTGCTGCTCGTTTAGAGGGTTTAGGGTTTAGCTCTAAGGGTTTAGGCTTTAGTTACCCCGTAGGGTTTAGGGTTTATTTTCATTTTCTAGGGTTTAGGGTTTAGGGTTTAGTGTTTAGGGTTTAGTGTTTAGGGTTTAGATTTGATCTCGATTAAAGAGACAAAAAGGCAATTTCTGCAAACTTAAAAGACGCTTCCCTGGCTGTGCCTAGCTAGCTAGCTAGCTAGCTAGCTAGCTGGCTCGCTAGCTGGCTAGTTGGCTGGCTAGCTGGCTAGCTGACTCCCTCGTTGGCTTGATAAGCCACCTGGCTGGCCAGCGAGTACACAGACTCGCTAGCTGGTTAGCTAGCTAGCTGGTTAGCTAGCTAGCTGGCAGATTAGCTAGCTAGCTAGCTAGCTAGCTAGCTGGCTATTGGCCTGCTGCACTATACGAAGGCTAGAAGGACAAGGATAGCCAGCTGGGCGGATATTCTAAACCCTAAACCCTAAACCCTTAAGCATAGGACCTAAGGGTTTAGGGTTTAGGGTTTAGGGTTTAGGGTTTAGGGTTTACTCCACGATCCGAAGGTCTGCGAATTGTCCCTCAGGGCCATAAGCCACCTGAAGATCGCATGCAAACCCTAAACCCTAAACCCTAAACGCTGGAGACAAACAGCCCTCATTCGCTGCTAAATGCCGGCCAAAACTAAGGGTTCAGGGTTTAGGGTTTAGGGTTTACCCTGGCTTTGTCATAAACTCGTTGGAGGGCCTCGCAGTACCGCTGGCGCAACTGCAGAGCAAATCCATCTCCTCAAACCCTAAACCCTAAACCCTAAACCCTTAACCATAAACCCTAAATCCTAAACCCTAACCCCAACCATGGTTACCCCCCCAAGGGACAGGGACTCGTAACCCCTAGTGCAGGCAACTAACTGGCTATCAATCTATCTATCCAGCTGTCTAGCTAGCCAGCCATCTAGCTGTCTACCTAGCTAGCTAACTAGCTAGCTAGCTAGCTAGACAAGAAAGAATATTATTTACCTCCTCTATATCCTTTTGTGTAGGGTTTGCAATGTGAGGAACAGGAAGAGGATCGCCAACAACTTGAACAATCTTTACGCGCTTTGGCATCGTTATTTGGAATAAACCACGCCCTATACCACAAACCCTAAACCCTAAACCCTAAACCCTAAACCCTAAAATGTTATTTAAACAATGGAACCGAAACAAACAAACCCTATAGGCCGCGTTAACTCACCCTTCCCCTGTGTGCATACTACTGGCAACATACGTGACAAACTACTAGGGTTTAGGGTTTAGCTGTAACTAGGGTTTAGGGTTTAGGGTTTAGGGTTTAGGGTTTAGGGTTTATGTACCGTAGGTACGAGGCAAGGAGAATCCAAAATAGGCCATCGTTTTACGAGAAATAAATTTTAATGATTTACAAATTAAACCCTCGTCATCTATCCAATCATACATATCATTCTCCCCTAGAGAAAATACCTGTACACAAACCCTAAACCCTAAACCCTAAACCCTAAACCCTTTTTTAGGCTTGACCAGAAACAGGATATTGTTGATCTCTTGACTATATCTGTTTGTCCCAATCTGTAAAACACGAAATCCTGTCCTTCGCATGCTTGGCTTCTTCGCATGTTTGGCTAATTAGGGTTTAGGGTTTAGGGTTTACGGGTATAAGCCAAGAACCAGTTTGTAGGGCAAGTTCAAATATTCCTTTTCTTCTTTTTAAGACTAAATTATTTTCTCCTTTTCTCCCCAAGAGGGCCTCCCTTGCCCCTCCTACTACTAGCAGCACGGCACGCCCAGGGCCCCTGAAGGTTAACACAAACCCTAAACCCTAAACCCTAAACCCTAGTTGGACACCACCAGGGTAGGTAGGATATACGGGAAACCAAAAGGGGTTTGACAACAATTTAGGGGTTTTAGCTAGGGTTTAGGGTTTAGCTATGTTGTTCTAGGGTTTAGCTAGGGTTTAGGTAGGGTTTAGCTAGGGTTTATTATTACTTGGATAGAAAACCCTGAATAGCTTGCTTGCTGCTATTAATAAACCCTAGGGCTTGCAGCAAATGACCCCAAAAAGGAAGACGCATATTTACTGCTATTGTTGTTAGTCTTATATCTATACCTAAGGTAAACACACATAGATACACACACTAAACCCTAAACCCTAAACCCTAAACCCTAAACCCTAAACCCTAATGTTCGTTTGAAACACAGAACGTCCGCTTCACAGCTCTGCATACTCGGCCACCTTTCTAGCATTAGAAGCAGCAACAGCAGCAACAGCAGCAGCAACTGCAGCAGCAGCAGCAGCAGCAGCAGCAAACCTGGCATGAATCTGTCTGTATTAATCCAATCTCTGTCGGTATGATTTCCCCAACCCAAGAATGCAGAAAAGCTTAACACTCCATGCTGTACACACAAAAACCTAAACCCTAAACCCTAAACCCTAAACCCTAATGTCCTATCGAGATACATTCAATGCGGATACACCAAACGAGAACAAACTGTGGAGAGAGTCGCAATCCGCTATTTAGGGTTTGTTTAGGGTTTAGGGTTTAGGGTTTAGCGTCTAGGGTTTAGGGTTTAGGGTTTAATGCCTAGGGTTTAGGGTTTAGGGTTTAGGGTTTAGGGTTTACAGGATGGAATCCAATAAGATAAGATTTATCCGCTGGATAATTTGGTTGTGGTGATTCAGTGATTAAAGAAACAGGAAAATAATCTGCTGCTTCTATCCAGACACGCCAACTCCTCACCTGCAGCAGCAGCAGCAGCAGCAGCAACAGCAACAGCAACAGCAGCAACAGCAGCAGCAAAGACAGTGGTAGAAGCATATGCAGCATTGTGTCAGCTGCAAGACGAACCCCCCATTATAGGTGTTTGTGGCATACGTGAGGGTTTAGGGTTTAGGGTTTAGGGTTTCGTTGTTAGGGTTTAGGGTTTAGGGTTTAGGGTTTACCCATTTGGATGGGAAGCCGAAGAGGAGACCAATTTGCTCAGAGTAGAAGATGCATGCAACAGCATAAATAATATAAGCCCCAAAGAGGTAGTCTGTTAGTTGCAGCTGCAGCTGCTGCTGCTGCTGCTGCTGCTGCTGCAGCTGCCGCAGACGCAGCAGCAGCAGACGCAGCAAGAATATATTTAGTAGCCACATTGATGGCAGCAAAAAGGAGACAATACGCATGCAAATATATGTCTGTATACGGGCAAATAGGGACCTGTTTCCTTTCCATTCGTTGCTGCTGCTGCTGCTGCTGCTGCTGCTGCTGCTGTCGCTAGCCTTGCTGCGGCGTTGGCGTACTGCAGGTGCATCGCTGCTGCTGCTGCAGGTGTCTTTTGCTTCCTCTACAGCAGTAGACTCTCCATCCTCGCCGTTGCTCCTGCTGCTGCTGCTGCTGCTCTTGCTGCTGCTGCTGCTGCTGCTGCTGCTTTTTCCTGCTGCTGCATCGTAGAGCCTATGTGGGGTACCAACCTGCTCCCAAGCAGCAGAACGCCAGATGCTGCTGCGGTTGCTGCTGCAGAGGAAAAGAATATACAGCAGCAGCAGCGGCGGCAGCAGACACCACCACAAGAAATGTGCCAGCTCTAACAACATTGCTGCTGCTGTTGTTGCTGCTGCTGCTGCTGCTCGTGTTGCTTCAAGGGTTGCTGCTGCTGCTTCTGTTATTGTTGTTTATGGTTCTGCTGCTGCTGCTGCTGCTGCTGCTGTGGGTCCTCCAACAGCTGCTGCTGCTAGTGACACACACACACACAGCTGTTGGATACACTGCAGCAACTCCAGGTCTTGTTGTTGCTGCTGCTGCTTTGTGCCTGTTGCTTCTGTTGTTTTTGCTGTTGCTGCTGTTGCTGCTGCTGCTAGGGTTAGATTTGCTGCTGGGCGTGCAGTGTGCTGCTGCTGCTGCTGCAGCAATGCAACCCGCCCTGCTGCTTTCCTCTGTTCCTTCTGGAAGCAGCGGAGTTCTAAACCCTAAATCGCAAACCCTAAACCCTAAACCCTAAACCCTCAACCTTTAAAGTAAGATGGGCATCAGACAGACCGCTGGCCTTCCTGCGGGGCCCAGTCGAGGCCAGCTGCTTCTGCTGCTGCTGCTGCTGTTGCTGCTGCTGCTGCTGTTTTATTAGTTTATAGCCAAGATAAAAGACAATAAAATAAATAAGGAAAAATAAATGCCAATTAAGCCCTGATGCTGCATGTGCATCACAGAGGCTACCGCTACGGTCTTGGCTGGCTCCCGACGAAACCCCAAACCCTAAACCCTAAACCCTAAACACTAAACCCTAAACCCTAAACCCTAAACACTTAGGTTTGATGGTTTTGCTTTGGCGTGTGTGCGGTTGTTGCTGTTAGTCTTTGATGCCGTCTGTAGCAAGACACACCCGAAAACCCTAAACCCTAAACCCTAAACCCTAAACCCGAGACTCAAGGAAGGCCAAACCCTCAGCAGCAGCAGCAGCAGTTTGCTGCTAAAGATAAAGTTTGTGGGGTTTTTATGTTGTTAGAGGTATTTATATAGGTTGTATACTCTAGGGTTTAGGGTTTAGGGTTTAGGGTTTAGGGTTTATTGTGTGGATCAGATATGGAAGGTGGTCTTACGAGGGTTTAGGGTTTAGGGTTTGTTGAGGGTTTAGGGTTTACAAAATTGTACTGTTATTTTTTTGTCTCTAATATAAAACAAAGAAATAAATATAAATAAATATAATATATTATTCTTATATATATAATTATATAAATATATGTATATAATATAGATATTATTATATAAATAATATATTATTATATATTTTACTATGTATAAATATATAAATATATTTATATATAAATATATTTATATATTTATATATAAATATATTTA